AAGAAGTAGTACATTTAATAATTTGGCCATTCATAGCATAAGCGGCAACATCCAAATTATAATTACTTGAAATTTCACACATTGGTAAACTGTCAGATGATCTTGGTTTTGTTCTGAGCTCTGCCACTGAGCTGACTTTTTTTGGCCTTTACCAAATCACTTACCTCTCGGTCTCTCTCCATCTGTAAAATATGGATAATTACTAGCTACCTATCTCAAAGTGATGTAATTAAGTTCAGTTCATTGATGTCTGCTACATATTTAGTGTTCTTCAGATAGAAGGCACTATCCAGGTAATACAATTTCAGTCATGCCATGCCATTACTGCATTTGTCTGACCTAAGGTAATGCAGCGATGATGATGCCATGGTCCATTACAAGCCCAGGCAGTTTGCGCCAAAAATGAATTCAAATGTATTGTATCCACCTAACATCATAGCTGAGCACAAGAAATGCCGTTAACTATCCCGCCATCTCAAAATGAAAAAATAAGTAAGAATCCATTACCTCTGAAAACAACAGGGCGTTTTAAAACCAAATCCATGGTGCTCAGAGAGCTGAATGCCATTTTTTTTTTAACATTAACAGTGACAAGGCCGTCAGGCAGTTGTGTTGCTTCAGTTCCCCAGAGGTGAAAATGTAGCCCAACTGTCATGTAGCAAAACGCTCCTGGACTCAATGGGGCCCAGATTTTACCTAACAGATTCATTTCTTCAGGTAGCCAACCTGCTAAATATGGTTAATGCAGCCAGTAGCATTCCTTACATGACCACATGTGACTGACTCCTGGAGGATGTTCCTCCCTTTACTTGAGCTCCTAATCAGTTTTCTCTGGCTTTCTTTATCACTATACCCAAAAGAGGTGGATCACTTTCGTTTAATAAGCATGGTTAGTCAATTGTAGATGTTAAACTAAGGTATTTGCCATGAAGATCTTTGATATATGAATGTTACACACTTCTCCAAAATTTACTTGTTATTTTGGGGGCCCAGTTTAAGAAGCCTTAAAGGGGCAGGATTTTCAATAAGCGCTGAGTGCCTGCTATCAGACTCAAGTCCCCTTGAAGACATCTCAAGTTAGGCACCATGAAATGATGATCACTTTTGGATATTTATTTATTTATTTTAAGCTAGCATAGGTATACGAGTATAGGCAAGTGGGGTCATATCAAAGAGCAGCCACCCTTGATGAAATTATAGCAAACCTTTGTTTTCTCCTATATGCACATATTTAGGGATTGTTGAATTAAGGCACCACCTTCTTGTAAAATATAAAAACTCTACCCATTATTAGATTTGCCATACAGTGAAGTATAAGATGAAAACCTTTGTTCTGGATATTTTTATTCAAAACAAGTTTAATACATACACTTCAAAAATGTGCTCTTTTTAAGAAAGACTATTTCTTACAGCTTAGGATAGCCTACAAATTCAACAATGTTGTCCTTTTTATTTGTAATCTCAAAATAATACATCCGCACTTTTTCTGTTCTCTCTAGGTATTCTGAATTTCTCCCCCATGCCCTCCCACCCACATTTCTGAGTTGTGTGCTAATACTAAATAATATAACGTAGGCAACATTTCACAACTCAACATTCTAAGCCTCACTGCATGCATTACTGAAATCCTTTTTGCTTGGTACAGGTAAAGTCCTTAATAATGTACCTGCCTAATCATTATACTTGTAAACTCCACATTAATACACAATTTGCATTACAAAGTTATTTGCAATTTGTATGTCTACGTACCTTGAGCAACCTACTTTAACGCTAATATTTTTCAGAGACTTATTTGCATTTCTATGAACCAGAGTAACAATGGAACATTATGCAATTTAATGGTAAAAGCTAACATAGAAGTGCAGCCTTGTTGGTTAAAATCTCCCTGAAAGAAAAAGTTCTGTTCGGCACTTTGATAGAACCCTCGATTTCTTATTTGCAAAATTGAAATCAAAGAACTTCAAAGATGAAGCCACATCAGAAGACTCCAAGGGTAAAGGATTGTTTTCTGAATATTGTAAAGCAAAATGAAAAGGTTTAGGGTAAAGAAATTATTACGTGTATTCAATTACACATGACTGAACCAAAACGCTTCAGTAGTAACAGTAAACATGGCAAATATAGCAACAGCTTTAAAACTTGCTGTACTATACATTCAAACTTGTTTTTCTAGCCAATAATGAAGTGGATAAAATGAAGGCTTTTTAAAAAATAATATTCATAGCCATTGTACTTCATCTGTTGCATGTGAAATTTCATTCTGTTCTTTTGATGCTTTGTCATGTATGTTAACATTTAGCACTTGAAAACTTCCAGCCACGAGATTTTTCCAGCCAAGATCTCTCTTTTTCTATTTTACATAAAAAGAAAATTTAGAATAAAAAGTTTGCTATTGGCAGGGACCCACTGAATGCTTCACAGCAAAGGTTCCCAACTTGTGGCCCATGGAGTGTTGGTGGTCTACATACAGTTGCTGGCCACATGGTTCTGGCTCCTCTGGGTTATTTCCAGCTTTCAAATTGATTAAGAAAATAGAATAAACAAGATTTTAGTATTACTTTTCCACATAAGCAATTGCTGCCCTGTTTTGGTGACGTTATGCAATTATGAATGATATGGAAAGTTGACAGTCAAATGGCATGACAGAACCACAAAAAACTCTCCCTGTATTACATGGTCCACAGTATGAAAAAAAATTCAGCTTACAGATTGTGTTGTACCGAGATATGCTTAAGTGCAATGGCAGTGAAAAGCAAGAAGAATTTGATTTGGAAACCACCCTTCTCAGATCCACTACTTTCAGGGACAGTAACAATCTTTAATCTCAATCCTTGTACGTACACAACTCCCACCAAAATTTAGAGTTATCCTTGTGTGATGCTACCAGATTGGTATCCAAGTGCATTGTAGAGATATGGTGGGGAAGATGACTGATATTTGTCCCACAGGGGGTGATTGTTAGTGGACTGTTAATAGACATCTCCGAGGAACCTACACATTAAATTATTATATGGAATCCAGAACCATGATGGAAACATTTTACTGGAGAATTGGGGAGTTAGTAGAAAGATAAAAGTGTCACCTCTCCCCAGAAACAAAGCCATGGACCAGTCTATGATTTGATGCTCAGTAGGGCACTGTACTACAACTGACAAGAAGTTCATTGAACAGCCATTGTTACATTGAATAGAATACTATTTTGTGTAAACCAAAGGCAAAACGAGTATCTGCATTTCCCCCCTGCTTCTGTGGATTCATTAGTTAGTGCCTCCACTCAAACTTCAGGCATCAATTAACACACCACTTGAATGTTTCTGGTGCCAAGCAGTTAGTAGCTTCCAAAAATAGGATTATCAGGGACTAAAGCTGTCTGCGAAGGAGACTAGGGTACTAAAAATGAGCTTTGAGATCAACTACACAGGTCCATGCACTCCTGCTTACTGGTTAATAACTCCTAAATTACGCAAATACAGGAGACTTCCTGGATACCATCAAGTTGAGATGCAGAAAACAAGCGAGCAGGTAGAAGTTGGCTGTACTGTCCAGATGCAACGAGATTCATCAATGCTTATTTTAGGAAGTTCCACCACTCAAATACAGTCAAGTGAAAAATCCTTATTTGAGGCAGCTCTGACAACTTTTAGTAGGATTGTTGGGCTGGATCTGGGAGGATCACCGAGAATCAACTGACTCCTTACCAATTCATATATTTTCCCCCATATAATGTTATTGCATATGAGCCATACTACTGTTTAAGGTAGTTATCCTCAGTATTCACCTGCACATCTACCAACATGATATATGCCATCATGTGCCAGCAATGCCCCTCTGCCATGTACATTGGCCAAACCAGACAGTCTCTACGCAAAAGAATAAATGGACACAAATCTGATATCAGGAATCATAACATTTAAAAACCAGTAGGAGAACACTTCAATCCCACTTCGGGGGAGGAATAGCTCAGTGGTTCGAACATTGGCCTGCTAAACCCAAGGTTGTGAGTTCAATCCTTGAGGGGGCCACTTGGGGATCTGGGGCAAAATCAGTACTTGGTCCTGCTAGTGAAGGCAGGGAGCTGGACTCGATGACCTTTCAAGGTCCCTTCCAGTTCTAGGAGATGGGATATCTCCATTAATTTCAATCCCCTGGTCACTCAATAACAGATTTAAAAGTGGCAGTTCTTCCACAAAAAACTTCAAAAACAAACTCCAATGAGAAACTGCAGAACTGGAATTAATTTCCAAACTGGACACCATCAAATTAGGCCTGAATTAAGACTGGGAGTGGATGGGTCACTACAGAAACTAAATCAATTTGTTAGTCTCTAAAGTATCACAAGAACTCCTCATTGTTTTTACAAAAACTAATTTCCCCTTGCTAACCACTCACACCTTCTTGTCAACTCTTTGAAATGGGCCACCTTGTTTACATTTGCCTCCTTAACACTTCAAAAGTTATTTCCACTCCTTGTCAACAGTTGAAAATTGCCTACTTCCAACTTAAATTGAATTGGATTGGTAGCACTGACCCCCCACTTGGTAAGGCATCTCCTATCATTTCATATACTGTGTATTTATACCCCCTACTGTATGGTCCACTCCATGCATCTGATGAAGTGGGTTTCAGCCCATGAAAGCTTTTGCACAAATAAATTTGTTAGTCTATAAAGTGCCACAAGGACTCCTCGTTGTTTTTGCTGATACAGACTAACACGGCTACCACTCTGAAACCTATTGCCCCCTTACCTATTAGGCAAGTGATGAGCCGTGACTTCTGCTTTTCTACCAAATTATTTGTTCTATTGTTGCATTATCCTCCTATCTTCCCCACCCACATTAGTCAGTTTCATCCATCTGTTGTATTCTCCAACACAGATTGCTCACAATGCTACTTGACAAGGACTGTTCACTCTTCATCGTTAGTACAATGCCTGGCACATTGGTATCCTGATCCTTTACTTAAGTTCCTAGGTGCTATCCATAACAAACAAAGGCAATTCCTTATTGTTACTATAGAAATTCTTTTATTACCACAAATATTCAGTTTATCCAAATGTAAATACTTCACATACATAAAGCATAGAGAAACTTTTAGGGCAACGGCATAACCCCCTTCACCTCCAACTACTATAGTACCCTGCTTCACCAATCAACAAGCCTGCTATGCTTCTGTAACACACTGGTTATCTTCCTCTCCTTATCTACCATAAGATTTAGCAGTGGAAAGCTGTAGTGACACTACATATTACTAACATGAAACAGGCAGTTTATTTACTTCTACACTTTGTTTATTACTGTACATTTTAGCTACATTTTTCCAAATCCTTTTTATGCGTTAAAATTAATTTTATTGTTTTTATCTGATTATTCACTAAGAGAATGCTAGTCAAAATCAACAATAGCCATAAAGAAAGGTAAAGAAAATTCAATTTAATACGTTATGCCAATGGTAATAGTTAGGCAAGTAACTTAATCACAATCCACATGGTAATTAAGAATATGGGGTTAATAGTAACCTAGTATTATTCAAATGTTACACTAATACTGGAATATTAATACTGGTATGTTTAGACTATTAAATTGCAATTAAGATCATGAGCATATTGATATAGAGGTGTATTTGCACATTTATCGAGTGCTTCACAAATTGCAGTAATCTACCATAAAAGCCCCAGCCAGTGTGAATTAATGAGGTTCACACACAACCTCAGATACCAGGTTTTCCAGCTTTCAACATTTGTTTGGTTAGGGTTTTTTTTTTAATTATTATTGTTATTAAACATCTATATTCATGAACAAGTGCTTTAAATATCTGTTGCTTATATAAAACCAACTTTCACAAATACTTTGTCAGCCATCCGTCTCATCTGTGTGTCTTGCATAAAGTTTTTCTTTAAGAGTAAAGTAGTGAACGAGTACTTCAGCCAGATAACATCCTACAGCAAAAATACTTTTTATTTAGGAGGTGTTTGAACCACAGCCCTAGATCCAAACACACTTCCATCTTTGGGCCAACTGGGATCCAGATCTAACTTTTGCAGCACTGCTTACTGGGATAACATGCAAAAGGGCAAGTAGTAAAACTTCAGTTATCTAAGGTCAAGCAGACCATTTGATGTGAAATGCATTCCTCTCATAACTCCATCAGCTTCAGCATAAGTACACTAGAGACTTGGCCTGTAACAAACAAAACTTCCATTCACGTGTATAATGATAATGGTCTTAAGGACAAGACAAAGAGGGGGACACTTTTCCTAGCAGCCCGCGTATCCAAGTAACGATACTTTGTATCAGAATTTGTTAGCAGGAGTTAAGGAGGCACAGACATCAGTGGCTACAATTCAGTTTGAATCTGCTCTATTGAGTTGTTGGGCAGCATTTGCCATCGCAGCACTATTTTAACAATGGATGAGTAAGTGCTGCAGTACATTTTCTGCATCTTGGTTTATTTCATTATTTTCCTCCAGCTTCTCCAACCACTGATTTGAATGTTTAAGTTCTCTCATAGAAGTTATCCCAACTTCTAAATGATTAAACATTGCTGCGGTGATTTTTTTCTATATAGACCTTTTCAATACCTAGTCTCCGTCAAAGTGCATTTCCTGTCGCATCAGGATGAAGTCATCAGTAAGTACCCAGCCACTTATTTTCCCCACCCACTAGCTTTGAGATCTATAGCTCAAGAGTGCTTAGTAAATGCAAATTATTTCTATTCTGACCCTTAAAAGATAGCTGAAGGGGAAACAGATGAAAAGTCACAAACATCCTTTTATGTTCCTAGAACTAAGAGCGGTTAAGACATTCTCTGCCCATCAAATCCATGCTTGCTCATTTCTTCCTTGTTCTGCTGTCTCCTGGGCCCTTGTGAACTGAGAAGTTTTAATCAGTGAGAAATGAAGCAACAAGCCAAGCTGCTTGATCTGCCATCGTGCAAGGCAGAGCGAAAGGACTGGGGTCATTGCAGAGAAACAAGCGAGAGTGGGTATTTTGTCAACTGAAAGCTGCTCTGTGACTTCTCCCCACTTCTGTTTTTCACCCTCACATGTACTCCGCATCTATGCAATGGTGGCAGAACTGCTGCTTTCTCAGGTTTTCCCACTGTTCCTCTTCCCTATTTTTCCAATTGCCACTGTGCGTCGCACATAGTATACATGGACATATTATAAAGTGGTGTTCAACACAAAATGCCTGTACTTCAGGCCCCTTACAACAATGCTGGAAGCCAGCCAGTCTCCCTACTTCCATCTCTGACAGGCAATACACAAGAGCTGCAAAATGAAAATCCTCCTTCAGTACTTGGAACCAATCTTGCCGCCTTCTTCTGCCACCACAGTTAATTGTTAATGGCCTTTGTATGAGATTGTGTCATGGAATCAAATTTTATTAGAACAAAAGATGAAAAGTTAATGGGTTATGGGCAAACACACTGGAAACCTTCATTTTTTGGAGAGAATTTTCACTCTAATCAGACTTTTCATGCTGCATTTCATTGTGATCAATCTCAGCTTTCATTCTGCTGCATTGACAATGAAATTTCAGTCTACCAGTTCCCAGTAGCTACATTCTCCAGGCTTAAATGCAGCCAGAGACCACCAGAGATGAGCCCTGGTGCCCCCATCTCTCCTCAGGGCTAAAGCCCCAAGACGCAGTGCCCTGCAGCTGAAGCCCCGAATGGGTGTTGTGTGTGTGGTGGTGGTGGTGGTGGTGCTGGTGCGGGGGGCAGACGGTGCTGGGAAATCATCTCAGAATTTAAGCCCGGTACATACTGCTGTGTTGCTAAGCAAGTTGTTTCAATGGTACCAATAGAAAAAGCATATTAAGGCGGTGGTAGTTGAGCTGGGAAACCTGACAAATTTATGTTTAGAAAAAACTAAGAAAACTAGGAGTGATAAAGACAGCAACTCCTTTTTCAAACTGGTGGATCAAAGCATGAAGAAACCCTTACAGTGGGAACCATGCTTTGACTACCACTCAATATGTAACTTTCACTATTTAAAAATTCATGTTATGAAAGGCTGGAGATAGTACAGTAAAATAAATTACCATACCATTAATTTAAGCACTAATTAGTCAGTTACTTATAAAACTCATGTTTTAGATGATTCACTAGTCACAATTTTAAAGACAGACACAATACATGCCTATGATTCTGTGCCATACTTATGATTTGCTAATACAGCAGCTAAAAAATACTCCAGTATCTTTGACTGTCTACAAAACCAGCACTAAAGCCATTGTCTGAGACGAGCATGCACACTTTGAATGAAAATTAGCTTAAGTGGGTAAATGCTCAGGGGGATTTTCATTTACTCTTTTCAAATGTCCTAGTAAGTCAGCGATGGAATAAATTGTCTAGTGTCTATTGAGACACTTCCTTTGTATTCCAGAATACTCACTCTCCTTTATACCCTAGTATCCAAGTTAAAGTCTTTAAAATCATCTGTACTCAAGTGTCCCATTTTTTGCCCTGTTAAATTAGACTAATAAAAAAAATTCTCAAATTGACCACACAGGCCTATCTGTGCAGGTTCTTTAACAGACAGGAAACTTATTTGTACTCATCAAGAACACCACGCCTTTTCAACACAAATTGTATTTGCATACAGTTTTCCACTGTTACCAACACCAGCGCAGTTTCACCTGTGTTATTACACCAGACCCTCGCTAGACCGCGGGATTTTGGATCCATGCGCAGTCCCGCGTTCACGCAGGGACTGCGTTAAAATGAATTGCAATTAAAGTAATTAAATTTGGCATCCATGGCTGTGACCACGTTATATGTGAATTCGCGCTATACAGATGCGCGTTCTAGCGAGGGTCTGGTGTACTAGTTTCGGCAAGTCATTCACATTCACTAGCTATTTCACAACACTATTGCTTCCATCTGCTCTGATCAGGGTTAGAAGACCGCGTTAAACTTGCTCACAGCTAAGTGAAGCTCTTCTCCTGGCCCCCCATTGCTACCTTTGGAAAAGCTCTACGTATTGTCACAAGAAGGAATTTATTTTGTCAGCCAACTATGGAGTAGACATTGCCCTACCAAACAGGTAGCTTGCTTTTCTTCTGTACCTAGCACCCACAGCTCCTGTTTACTTTATTGCTAGACCACTGAGAATTAGGTCTTGGTGGCTGGAGGTATCTGAGTGGGCAAGATGGGGGTGCACATGTGGGGCTTGTGGGAATGTTTTAAACCAGATAAGAAACAGGTTATGATCTGATTCTAGCAGCTAGCAGTTTGGTTCGGTAGACTGAGTCTGGGGAGGTGTGAACTGGCAGCTAAGTGAAAAAAAACAAACAAACATGGGACCTGAGACTTGTGGCAGAAAAGAATTGAACCAACAGTTATGGTGTGGGTAGGCAGGCAGTATTGGTCCTGAAAGCACAGTAACAGACCAGCACCTGACTGTTTATTGGAATGGGGAAGGGAATTAGAAGCTGTGATCAAGTACGGTCAGTATCTCAGTCAAATTAATTTACCAGTGGATATGCTTCTAAAGTGTCTTAAAAGATTAAACAAAACCCCACAGACAGACACAAATTTCTCACTTTACACAAAGGATGTACATTTTCCTTCCAGCTCATACCTCATTTTTTTGTACATAAAATTGCAATTTTATTAAACATATCCACTTCGGCGGTGGGCGGGAAGGAAGAGAGCGAGAGAAATCCCTAAGAAAGAATTAGGGAAATAGATTCTAAATTCATTATACGCACATTTGAATGACAGATGAATGGGCTGGCATTTCTTAAACCTGGTGAGGTTAAGACAGGCAGCTGAGTCTCTTCTTCTGGAGGATCCCTTCAGCTATCACCACACACTGGAATTTTAATAGTACAATAGAGATAAGCACTATGCTACTGAAAAAGTAAATCCGCAATCAAAGTCACAAATGCAACAGTTGTTCCAGAAATGTGTATCTTTTCTGCCTACCTATTTCTCACCAGCTCTCACCACATACAATAAAGAGTATTAATTGTCTCTGTACCTACTTCTTTAGAAACTGTTAAAACACAACAGGATACGTACTTGTCCTATAATCAACAAGTGTTAACTTAAAATTTTGAAAAGTCTGCAAGCTTATCTAACACCAATTTATTCTGTATAAAAATTCACAGCAGGGGAAGCGATCACACATAGTGTTCTCTAGGATTAATGTAGATTCTTCCAGTTCCTGGGTTTTGATGGTACTTGCTGCTCCAATCTTTGTAACATATCTGCTTGTGAACGGGGTACATCTGCTGAAGGTTTTCTTGGCTCAATGGATTTTCATCTTCATAATTAAGTTGCCTGCCATTTACTGCTTTCTAAAAATACAAACAATTCCGTACATTAAAAGCATCAGCAATTTCATTTTCAAATACTGCTTCCACAACACATCACGTGAAGACTGTAATTACTACCATCAGCACCCACCTTTTATTCTGCCATAAGCCCCTTATAATAGTTTAATGCATGTTCCTTAGTCACTAGTCATTCAATGAAATAACTTACATTACAAAAAGGAGACATGGAAAATACCAAATTCCAAGAACTTAGATACATTATGACTAAAATCAGTTTCCTAGTAATGGAAAACTAATATAAGAGACTATGAAAAAGCGCACACATTAAGCCAACTACAAAATGACATGAATATAAGTATTGGCTTTGGTCTTTTATTTCCCAGCCATTAACTTTCAGTTTGTATGGTTTGAAACTCAGATGCCACATGGACAGCAATTCTACTTGTTAAATTGTTACTGAATAGGAAGGACAAGTAATCTGGAGCTCTGTGTCAAAAAAAGTTAGCTAAAAACCCACTGTAAGAACCAAGATCAATCACCTGATTCTTTAATCAAGACTCAGGGTTCTGGCTCAACACATACAGTCATATTACTTACTATGTTCTGCAAATTTCCAGCTTCTTTCTCCTTGTATTGGCTTTGCAAAGGGAAGCGTTCTCGCTGCAGGGAAGAAAAGTTATAGTGAAAGTTTACATTGCACTATAGGAGAAAGGTTTGACACGTGCTTTGTTTAAAGCAGTAAAATGAGAGGAAGCATTCTGCCTTGACAAGTGTCTGACTGAGCATCTTTCAGAAGGAAAAAGGAGGTTGACGAGGCTTGCTCAAATGGAGTAGTTCGAGTGTACTAACTCAAGCCAACTATTGCAGTGAAGACAACCCTAATAAGTTTAAAACTCACAGAAGGGGCACTGAAGTTTCTTAACAAAACATCTAAGCCTCAGCTTCATAGTTCACTGGATTTCTGTAGAGGCGAGTGAACACAGCAGAATCGTATTCATGGCCACTCCTGGAAGCCAAGTCATACAAAATTTCCACACACTATAATAGGGACAGGGTATTGCCATAGAATCTCATACCAATAATGCACTTCGCCTCATGAGAAGGTATTCAAATGTTAACTACTTATAGTAAAAGGGACTGCTATTTTTCTGATATTTAAATTTAATCAAACTAGGTAAAAGTGTTGGAGTGAATTAGGAATTGGAGTTATTTTTAATGATAAACTCCCAAATCACTCTGGTGCTTCTGAAAATTGTATTTAGTGTACACTACACAAAACAATTTCCTTTGTCTGACAAAATGAAGGCTGAGGGGGGATATGATTGCTCTCTTTAAATATATCAGAGGGATAAATACAAGGGAGGGAGAGGAATTATTCCAGCTTAGTACTAATGTGGACACGAGAACAAATGGATATAAACTGGCCGTGGGGAAGTTCAGGCTTGAAATTAGACGAAGGTTTCTGACCGTCAGAGGGGTGAAATATTGGAACGGCCTTCCGAGGGAAACGGTGGGGGCGAGGGACCTGTCTGGTTTTAGGATTAAGTTAGATAAGTTTATGGAGGGAATGGTTTAATGGTAAAACATAGTAGCCAAGGAATACCAAGCAATGGCAGGTAAATAGTATAATGGCTAACAGGGGTCAGGCTGGAGATTCTTGCCTACATGCTCGGGGTCTTACTGATCGCCATATTTGGGGTCGGGAAGGAATTTTCCTCCAGGGTAGATTGGCTGAGGCCCTGTAGGTTTTTCGCCTTCCTCCGCAGCATGGGGCAGGGATCGCTAGCAGGAGGGTTCTCTGCCAATTGAAGTCACTAAAACACAGGATTTGGAGACTTCAACAACAGAGTCAAGGGAAGGGGTAGGGACGGTTGTGTGGCCTGCAGCATGCAGGGGGTCAGACCAGATGATCATAATGGTCCCTTCTGACCTTAAAGTTTATGAGTCTATGAGTGTTTACTAGCCTAACAAAGCAACACTGTTATGGTACTTAACAGTGATCTGTAAACTAAAACCCCAATATTGAACAGTTTTTCAATTACTCAAGATGCTTTTATTGCACTTAACAGAGTATTTTACATGGTCAACATCTCCTAGAAGACTATTTTAGTTTTGCACATATTTTTTGCATGTGTGCTTTTTTTATTCACAAGTTTGTCACAAGTAAGGCACACGCTCAGTTAGTGAATTCAGATTGCTGAACGCATTCCAATGACCAAGCAGTCTCATTAGGTAATTAAATCAATTTGCACAACACTGATAACAGAATAAAATTACTTAATTATTTTAACAAGTAGCTATCACAAAAGTGACCGAGTTTTAAGAAAAGGACAATAGTATACAGCAATGAAGACAAGCAGAGGAAGAAAGAACTAGTTCAAGTCAAGGTACACTGTGATACTTTATCCTCCCATTTGCTTACTATTACATAAAGTTATATAGCCAGCAGTAG